GGAAAGTTTCCTCTTTACTAGTCTCAGGAGCATCAGCTGCGTAGCTCAGCTGATTTTAAGTTGAGATTATCAGGGGAAGATAAGGCCAGTGTTAAGACCTTATTGGCCCATGTGGGCTCCCATGGCCATTTGAGTGCGGCTTCTCTGGTTGCTAGATCCCAGGCCGTCCTAGATCAAACTAGTATGCTTTTTTCATTTTCTAGCATGTCTTTTAATACTTGTTTCTCTTTCCTGCTCTAATTGTGCCTGCTTGATTTGCAGATTCTCACATGGATCCCACTGCGAAAGAAGTGCCTGACTATATACTGTATCTTCGAGGAAAGGCTGCAGCTCGGCCTCCTTCCGCAATGATGCTGATAATTGGTTGGACTCGGGTTGTAACCAAGCTTTTCCTGCTGAAGGTACTGGAGGTACCACTCGAGCCGTGGTATCTGTGGACCGAGATACTCCAATTCCTCCTGCTCTTCCAGCCGGACTTAGGAGAGGTGCGCTATGGGAAACCAGGGTGGCTACTGAACTCCAGGGTGTTACTCATCCCCCGCCCGCATTTTTGGGACGAGGGTCATTTCGAGAATCGAGATGGAGGAACTGCAGAGGGCCAAGTTATATGCTTTTAAGGCGGCCTCATTATTGAAGCCTTACTCTCTGCTGTTGGAGAAGTATTCGAAAAATTATGCTGATAGAGATGCACTCCGGGTTGACCGTGACAAGACAGTCCAGGAGAACCAGAGCTTAACAGTTGTTGCTGCTGAATTAAAGTCGTCTCTGGAACAATCCAAAGTCGACTTGAAATTTGTGCCAGATTCTTTTGGCCTTGATGCTGGCAAAGAGGCCATTGTCAACTACTTCAAAGAGAAATTAGCCCTGCTAGCAGAAAAGGAATCAAGGATTACAGCTTTGGCTTTGGATAATGACAAGTTCAAATCCGACCTTCAAGATTTGCAGTCTGATTACGATTTTAGTCAGGCCGCGTTGGAGAAAGCTGTTGGTTCTGCATTTAAGAAAGCCTGGCTAGAACTCACGATCTTACTCTTTAGCAAGACGGGTTCTACTACCTCGGCTTTTAAAATAAACATCATATTTCTGAAGAAATGAACACTCATTTTATTCAATTTATTCATAACCGAGTTTGAATTTACAAAGTAAAATGCACATATCTTTCCGTTCTTCAGCTATAATATTTCTTCAATTTATCTGCATTCTATGATCTTTTAATATTCTTCCCCTGTGGAGTCTCCATTACATAGGCTCCCCTTGACAACTTTTCTTTTACTTTGAATGGCCCTTCCCATTTTGGAGCTAGTTTTCCTTCAGCCGCATTTCGTCCTCCGATGTCTGCTCTTCGAAGAACCAAGTTTCCTACCTCAAACGATCTAGACTTCACCTTTTTATTGAACCGGCTTGCCACGAGTTGTTTAGCCGCAAAGTTTTTACAATGAGCCTGTAACGCCTGGCAACTTGCAAGGATTAACGACTGTCCCCACACACTAACACGAGACTTTTCAGCGTGCTTTGTCCTCACTTGCACACTTCCCGGGAAAACTTCCTAGGAGGTCACCCATCCCAGAATTGCTCCAAGTCAAGCACGCTTAACTGTGGAGTTCTTCCGTTCCGGGCTACCAAAAAGTAGATGCATCTTGTTAGTATAGGTAGTACCAATTAATTCTTATAAGCCATTCCCAACTATACCGTCCCATACCAGCACAGTCTCTGGAATCCCTCTCTTTCGGGTGTGGATTCGATTTATTTATGTACCCCCTCCCTAGAAGCCTGCCAGGAGCCGCTCCTTGTCCATGCCCTTTCGCACCGGCGATCACTCCCCGCCCTCGTCAGCGCCCGGGATGTTATCTATCAAGTTTAGTTCCATTGCCATCTTTTTATTGTTTTCTTCTTCTGTTTGTGCTAATTCCTGAACTCTCCTCCAAGACGGTTCTCCTAACTCCACTAGAATCATAGCTTTACATCCATAGGTCAACCTAAATGGGCTTTCCTTAGTGGACGTCTGCATTGTGGTTCTGTATCCCCAGAGTACGTAATACAACTCTTCTACCCATTTTCCTTTGGCAGATTATTCTATCCTCTTTTTTAGTCCCTCTATAATGACCTGGTTAGCTGCTTCCGCCTGCCCATTTGTTTGGGGATGTTCTACTGATGCAAATCGATGTTGGATATGGAGGTCCGTCATCAGCTCTTGGAAGGATTTGCTTGTGAATTGCGTTCCATTGTCAGTCACCACTCTAGCCGGGATGCCAAACCTGCAAATTAAATTCCTTTCAAAGAAACGCTGTATCCTAGCCGAATTGATTGTGGCTATTGGTTCTACTTCTATCAATTTTGTAAAATAGTCAACAGCCATAATCAGCCACTTCAGCTGTCCTTTTGCTGCAGCGAATGGGCCTAAAAGGTCCATCTCCCATTTGAAAAATGGCCATGGAGCCGTAATCAAGTTTAACATTTCTACATAGGTGAATAAATGCCTTTTTTGTATAGCTTCCCTTCAACCATGGTATATAGTGCTGCATCTCTAATTAGCTTTTTGGCTTCTTCTTTTCTCGAAGGCAATGTCCCATTTTCCATATAACTTATGATGGCCCCACTCCAATCATCTACCTTTGCTATTTGCATTACACAAGTGGGTTCTAGGATGCTTTGCTCAATCACTATCCTATGATTCCCTCTTCCTTTGGTGCTTGCTAACTTGGATAATATATTAGCCCTGCTATTTTCGTTCCTAGGAATGTGACTGATGTCCACCTTTTCAAATTCCACCATTAATTGTCTGGCGGTGTCTAGATATTTCGTCAGCAATGGTCCCTTTGCCTGGTAATTTTCTGCAATTTGGGAAGTAACCAATTGAGAGTCACTAAAAATCTGTAGCTTCTGGGCTCCGAGTTCTTTAGCTTGCGGAAGGCCAGCTATGAAAACTTTATATTCTGCATGGTTATTCAATGTTTCAAAGCCCATTTGCATTGAATACTCTACCGATATACCTTCAGGGCTCTCGATAATGATCCCGGCTCCACTTCCTTTTGAATTGGAAAAGCCGTCTACATTTACTTTCCAATTATCTGGGCTATGCGAACTCTCAATTTGGAATTAAGTGAGCTCCCTGACAAAATCTGCAAGTGCTTGAGATTTAATTGCTTTCCGACTTTCAAAAGTTATGTCGAATTCTGATAGCCCGACAACCCAACTCATCATCCTTCCTGCTAAGTCAGGCTTGTGAAGGACCTGCTGAATTGGCGAATCCGATCTGACAACAATTGCATGCCCTGGAAATATGCTTTGAGCCTTCTAGCCGAGATTAATAAGGCAAACGCCAGTTTTTCTAATTTTTGATATCTAAGCTCTGCTCCTTGCAAGAGTCGACTTACGAAGTAAATCGGATGATGTCCTCCCTCATCTTCTTGGACCAAAACTGAACTGACAGCGACATCGCCCACAAAAAGATACATTATTAAAGTTTCCTTCTCTCTTGGTTTTATCAAAACCAGTGGAGAAGCTAACCCCTTTTTTTACTTCTTGGAATGCGGCTTCACACTCCGGTGTCCACCCATACTGCACCTCATTTCTCAGTAACTTGAAGAATGGTAGTGCTATTTCTGCAGACTGGGGTAAAAACCTAGTGAGAGAGGCTAGTCTTCTTGTCAGTTGCTGTATCTCCTTTTACTTTTAGGAGCCTTCATATCTAACACGGCTCTGCACTTATCCGGGTTAGCTTCAATACCCCTGTGAGTCAAACATAAAACCAAGGAATTTACCTGCAAAAACTCCAAAAGCACACTTTGCTGGATTTAAATAGATGTTGTGCCGTCTCAATTTTTCAAAGGATTGCTCCAAATCCGCAATATGCACCATTGACTCCATTGATTTGACTATCATGTCATCTATATATACTTCTACACTCTTGCCTAGCTGATCTGCGAACACTTGGTTCATCATCCTTTGATAAGTAGCCCCCGAGTTTTTTAACCCAAAAGGCATCACATTATAACAATAGTTTGCCTTCTCCGAGATGAACGCTATTTTTTCTTGATCTTCCAGGTGTAATGAGATTTGGTTATACCTGGAGTAGGCATCAATGAAGGATAACATCTAGAATCCAGGCGAGCTGTCAACCAACTGGTCTATATTAGGCATAGAGTATGCATCTTTGGGACATACCTTATTTAAGTCAGTATAATCCGTCTCCACTTCCCGTTTGGCTTTTTAACCATTACCACATTGGATAACCTGGTGGTGTACTATATTTCCCGGATAAAACCAGCCTTTAATAGCTCCTTAACATGATCCTCCAGAACTTGCCGACGTTTTGGGTTGAGCTTCCTTTTCTTCTGAGCTACCGGCTTAGATCCTGGGTATACTGCTAATCTGTGACAACAGAAGGCAGGGATTACACCAGGAATCTCCATCGATTTTCAAGCAAAGACGTCCTTGTTGTTCCTCAAGCATGTGCCTTGGCCAATCTTTGTGGTTTGCCCTTGCTCTCCGATGGTTACTTCTTCTAACTCTCCATCGGGTTCTGGCCTTGGCACCTGGGTATCATCCCTCATGTCCAATTCTACTATGTTAACTGGTGCCTTTTCCTTCTTCTGGCTTGGACCAACCTGACTCTCGTTGCTTTCTTTGATCTCGGTTGAAGATATGAGGCCACTCCCAACTGCTCTAACCGACTTGAAGTAGCAGTCTAGAGATTTCTTCTGGTCTCCAGCAATGGTGATCACTGTACCCTGTTTACCAATCATCTTAATTTTTTGATGCTTGGTAGAAACCAACATATCCCAATTATGAATAGTTTGTCTTCCCAATATCACATTATACTCTGAAGGGAAATCGGCTACAATAAACCGTACTCTTTCAGATTTGAATGCCTCTTTTGATCCTAAGATAAGCCTAAGATCAATATACCCTTTAGAGAGGGTATTGCAGCCATTGAATGCAATCAATGCAGTGTTGCAGGGCTTCAAGTCTTCTTCATCTAGGTTCATCTCTTTAAACGCCTACCATAAGATTATGTCAGCACAACTACCATTGTCCACAAAGATCTTCTTGACTCTGCAATTGACTAGCGTCCCCGTTATGACCAAACCGTCAACATGTCTCGGCATTACATCTTCTAAATCTTTCCTAGTGAAATATAGCAATGGCGGGTCTGGTTTGGCTTCTTCTTTGAATGTAGACCGCTCCTGTATCGAAAGTACCTCTCTTAAGTATTTCCTTCTGGCATTCATTGTATCACCTCCTCCACCAAAAGCACCACTAATCACATTACATTCAAACTTTGGTTCCACGAATTCATCCTCTTCTCTAACCGGTTTTTTACCCCGACTATCATCCTTCAATCTTTTTTCTTTTGCCGGGCTCATAGGCCGACCCTTTCTTTTCCTATTGTTCCTCCACCCTTGAGTCCTTATAAGATATTGGCGCAATTTGCCACCCCTAATGTTTCTCTCAATTGCATATCTCAAGTCCCAACATTCGTCTGTAGTATGCCCCGACCTATCATGAAAGGCACAATATCGAGATTAGTCTAACCTGACCTGGTTCAATAAAGGCTGAGGTCTATCAACCTTCTTCATCTCGGTAGAGGACACCTCATTCCAGATTTGGAACCTGGATGAATTCAAGGATGTGTACTTTTCGAACCTTTCCCTTGTTGGAGCTCTTTCGTCTTGCCTTTTACCCCGGGAATCATTCTGTCTCTGATTTCCGAGCTTTTTCATTGGATTTGGTTGGTGCTTCTGATCCATGTTCTCAATCTCCATCTGTTCCAGCTCCAGATACTTCTTTGATCGAGCCGTGAATTCTACCAGCGTTCGAACCGGGTCCTTGTATATCGATTTGGCCAATCTAGAGGACCCACACAACCCTGCTATTACCAGGTGCAGATGAACATTTTCAGACAATCTTGGAACCTGCAAGGCTGCCATTTTAAAGCGATCTAAATATTTTTGTAGGGTCTCGCCGGGTTGTTGCTTTATTTTTCCCAATGCAAACTCTGATTTCGGTTGTTTCTTGCTAGTAGCGAAATTCAACAGAAATCTTCCACCAAACTCTTCAAAGGATTTGATAGACCCTGCTGGTAATGATGAAAACCACGTCTGAGCCGCTCCCGTCAGCGTAGTTGCAAAAATTCATGTATCAAAGGTTCTTCTATCCCCTTAATGTACATGGCCGTATCAAAGGCATCAGAGTGTACATGGGGATCTTGCGTTCCATCGTACTTAAGGAGTTCTGATAAGTTTAAATTTTCTGGGAAGGGTGCATTAACAATTTCATCGATAAAAGGACTATCGTTATATTATCCCCTGTTATACTTTCTCCTGTAGACCCCGGACACATCATCCGAGTTCCTAGCATGTTGCCCTATGCTCTGGGGCTGGAGATTCTCCATTTGCCTTGTCGGAACCCTTCCTCCACCTCGGCTACCTTCATGCCGTGTTTCTTGATTACGAGTAGGGTTAGTAATGACCCTTTGACCTCGGCCGCTAGCGTTTCTCATCTGATCTCGGGTCCCCCCTCGGTCATTATTGTTCTGATCCTCTCATGATCCTCAAGTCAGTCATGACTTGCGTTATAGCTCGTGCGAGATCCGGGTTGGTGTCCCGCCACAACAGAGTCTCCAATTCTCAGATTTTCCTGGCATCCTCTTGCCTCTGGAGCTCTTTGTTTATTTCCATCTCTTCCATTCTCTGAAGCACCGAAGCGACAACCAGATCTGTCACCCGCGGATCATTGTTTGCACCATTTGGCATTTGCCCAGCGTTTGCGACCTGCCCTTCAATCGATTGTAACCCCTCCACGTATGGGGTGTTAGGGTTAACCGCTGGAGTTGATGCCGAATCAGAGTGCACATCGCTGACATGAACAACATTGATGTCTACCTGCTGATGGTCATGGGGGACATGTTGTCCCAATGGATCCTTTCTGATTGAGGGAATTGGTTGGTGTCTGGGATTCGACCTTGATGGCTGCCGGTAACCTCTTCTGGTCGATCGCACCATTTTGACCGCTGGCTTTTAACCACGTGATCGTAGAAAGGTTCTGTTTGTCCCCACAGACGGCGCCAATGTTTTGCCTGAGTAGCAGATGTGTCTAACCGGAGGTTAGCTCGTTGATGTAGGATCTAGTGCTTTCTCTAGATACTTATAGATTTAGGTATCTTGGGGACAACAAATCACGACACATAATATGATGGCCTTGGCCAAGATGGGGGGGTGTGTGTGTGCTGTGTGATTGCATAAATAGGTTAAAAAGAGATCAGTCATACTCAAGGAAGCACGGACACTTGTAAAAACAGGAAGAGTCGGGTCCGACACGCTCCGACACGGCGACACGCTCCAACACGCTCCGACACGGTGTCGGACACGCGGTTGACTTTTTCCGACGCGTTGACAATTCCGACACGCGAATTTGACCGTGTCCGACACGGTCAAATGATATTTTTGTAAATTTTTTTTAATTTTTTTAAATTTTTTTAATTTTTTTTAAAAAAATTTATATTTTTTTAAAAAGTTATAATATATTAATAAAGCTTCCACCTGATCATATCAATTTTATCTTTTTGTCTTTTTTCCCCTGAAGTAGATAAGAGATCATCTCAGCATCATCGTTGTCAATTCCTATCACGCTCTTGTTGTATCTTCTTCTCTCTGATCTCTCTCTAATATGATTTGATCTCTCTATCTGATATTATATCCCTCTCTTATCCCAGTTCTTATTTTTTTATTAAAGCTTCCATCTTTATAACGTGTTGATGGGTATTATTATTTTAGTTTCATTTTTTTGTTAAATTATTAAATATTAAATAAAATATACACTATATAAATTAAAAATATTATTTAATATTAAAACGTGTCCCAACGTATCGAAATCCATAATTTTTTAGGATTGACGTGTCGGAGTGTCGTGTCGTGTCGTGTGACGTGTCGCGTGTCGTATCGGTGCTACATAGGTCATACTTGTGGTCTTTAGCTCCTATTTACAGGACTTACCTCTGGGCTTTAGGTTGTCTGGGCCTTCCAAGGATATGGGCTCACTTAGGTCCATAACAAAAAGTATATTCATAAACCTTTATGAAAATATCACATGTTCGGTGCTCCAAGGGTAATATACTGTATCAGTATGCTGGAGCTTGGAGATACATAGCACACTAATCCAGAATTCAAGATTCAAGAACATGAAAGACAATAGGAAGAAGATATGCTACTGTTGTGCAATTGTGTACCCCTTTTATCAATCACACATTACGCAAGTCCACGTGTCAACAAGTAATAAAGTGGATGTGTGAGTCCAGATATCGTTCCCACGAAGAAAACTATAAAGTTGGGATCAATGTGAAGCAATCAAGGTAACAAAGATAATTTGGAAGAGGTTAATGACTAATTAAACAATAGAACTAATAATTAACTAAAAGAATATAGTAAAAAAATAGGTTTTCCAAGTATTAAAGATAGATTGGGATCAATTTCCCCATTATTGCAACTTCACCAGAATGCAGTAACCATGCTATAGCAATTATCCATTCAGTAACCAGAACACTAATGCATGCAAGGGCTCTCACCAACTCTACATGTATACTAAGTCCCACATCTCTATGGCCAACATAGTTATGAATCATTAAGTGCAAGTTCCATTTGATTTTGTGGTGTGAATGATCTCTCTACCCACAATTAACTAATTAAATTAGTTAAACCACAATGCTTAATAACTTTCTGAGTTCACCTATATCTCTATAGTCCAAACCCTAATTATCTTGCAGCTCTCTCTCGATAAGTCAACAAGAATAAAAATAAGCACTTTATTAAGCAACTGAAAGGAAAATCATGTAACAAAGTTAAAGCAATACTGTTTACATCACAATAAGGGTACTCTATCACCCAATAATAACAATTTAGCCCATACTTGGGTGGGAAGAAACAACAAAGAAAGAATAAGATTCCATTAAACTAAAGTAAAGAAAACAGGGGCGTTGCTGTAGCACTGCTCTCGCAGCTACCGTAGGCTCCACCACCAACATCCTTTCTTCAGCCGCCGCAATAGTGCAGGGATCCACTGAATTTGATGATCTCTCTACCAAACCCTAGCCTCACCCTTTGATTCCTTGGATTTCTCTCAACGAACACTCAAATTCTCTCTATGTGTTCCCCCACTTTCTCTCTAGGATCTGATTGAATGTCTAAAGCATGTGTAGCGTTTCTCCTGCTTTTTGTGTGTAGGGTTCGTTCCTTTATATACTTGATATTCTGGGCCTCAAACAGCTCTTCAGGTCCATGTAAATCTTCATTCAAATCTGCCGTGTGAGTGGATAAGGATGACACTCTATTTTGCTGCAGCGCTTGATTGAAGATTCTTTCCTTATTTGCTGCAGCACTGATTGAGGATACAGCTATGTTTTGCTACAGCGCTGATTGGAGATTCTTTACTTATTTGCTGCAGCGCTGATTGAAGATACAGTTGTGTTTTGCTACAGTGCTGATTGAAGATTCTTTCCTTATTTGCTACAGCACTGATTGAAGATACAGCTGTGTTTTCTACAGCGCTGATTGGAGATTCTTTCCTTATTTGCTGCAGCGCTGATTGAAGATACTGTTAGGAATGTGGCTTCCATACTCAAGAGGGGGGGTGAATTGAGTATTACAAGATTTTCGCAAAAGCCCCCTTCTAGTTTCTAAATAATCATTTCAAGTACACTTTGACCTATGAAAATCTAATTTATTTAATTTAAATAATTTACAGCGTGTAGTGACTAAATAACAGAAAAATAGATCAGGTAAATATTTGATGAGATATGAATTTAAATATGCTCAAATGATTAATCAATGCTTATGCAAGAGATAAGGGATAGAGAGATTTGCAAACTTGATATATCCTGGTTCGGTCACTACCACTGTGACCTACGTCCAGACTGAAGTCGCTCGATCAAATCTTTCACTAACGGTCAAGCTTCACGGGTGCTTGACAAACCTTTACAAATTCCCTAGACTTCTATCTCTTGGTAGACTAACAAGGGTTCACTCCCCTTTCCAAGACTTCTGTCTCTTGGCAGACCAACAAGGGTTTACTCCCCTTTCCAAGACTTCTGTCTCTTGGCAGACCAACAAGGGTTCACTCCCCTTTCCAAGACTTCTGTCTCTTGGCACACCAACACAAGGGTTCACTCCCCTTTTGATTCAAGAAGTAAGATGAAGGTGATAAATAGTGGATATGTACTCTCAAAGTACAGATATTACAAATTGAAGAACTAGTAGGTGTATAGCATAACAACAAAGATAAGCTCAAGTCTATGCAATGATCAAAATGAGTAATTTGTGAGCAAAAGCAAGCTAGAATGAGTGATAAAGACTTGGTAAATGATCAATGACCGAATTATGTGTATTTGAGATGTTAGGGGGGTTTATATAGGCACCCAATTCGAAAACTAGCCGTTTAAAACAGTAGATATCTGGATATTTATCGAACACATATCCGGATATGTAATTATAGCCGTTTATAGCCGTTTAAACAGTAGATATTCGGATATTCATCGCGCACGTATCCAGATATGTGATATCCGGATATTCAGTATCAGATATCCGGAGATTGATATCCGGATATTCTTGGTCAGATATCCGGATATTTCATGGCAGTGACCTTTTTACACATTTTCAAAAATTCCTTTCTTTCAATATGGTTTCTATGACTTGTAAAGCATATGATTGGTTATGGAAATTAACTAGAAAAGTATATTTTATGTAAGTCTCTTTCCAAACCAATTTTGAATGATTTAAACCACTTGATTTGACTTTTCTTAACAGATGTATAAGGCCATGAATATGTAACTGTTATAATGCCATGATTCTTTTTTTTTGCTTAAGTCATTTGAAAAACCTTTAGATGCATTTTTGACTTGTTAGTTCAAGATTCATTTATGCATTTGATGATGTGTATG